CGAAACCACAACCTTAGCTTTGAATATCCTATACTTAACACGTTATGCTAACTGACTAATCGATGTCAGTTAAGGAATAAAACAGTTATTTAACATTGTCCAGTTACTTGTTACAAAAGGTGTATTGTTAGCATTGGTCTCATGGGACTAACGAGAAAATTGGTTATGCAAACTATAACCGTTGGAAATTTTCAATACTGTAAATTTCGTAATCTTTCTAATCGAGGTTTTGGTTTTACTTTATATGAAAACGGCTTCTTTGCCTATTTAAAAATGAAAATATTAATGCAGTGCTTGGAAAATTTCTTCAAGTATGAAATAAGCCAGTTACATACCTCGAACGTCGGCAATCAGCCTATACATCCCTCGGGCCTACGGCCCTCGGGATGTATTAGGCTGATTGCCTCCGTTCTCGGTATGTAACTCTTACTTAATGTGATCCAATAATTCAATGCTCATTACTAATAGCTCATGAATTATTAATGAGTTCTAGAAACCTTGATAAAGATTTTTTGCTAGCATAAATACTTTTATAACATAAAATTAGATAAAATGTGAACTTACAAAGTTTGCAGCTCTTTGCACAGTTTTTATGCATGTATTTCTTGTTTTTGTAGCACTCTCCCTTCTTAGCCCATAGCGGACACTGGGCCTTGTTGGAGTCTTCACATTTTGCTGTCAAATGAAAGAAAAAAAGTTGATACTACAATCACATTAGGTCCAGTTGAGACGTTCATGGTATGTCGTTTCTAATCAGAAATCCTGTTTCTGGAGTTGAGTCGTACTCTAACATTGGTAGATTTTGTTTATTTGAACACCGTCTTATATCATAATCTGTAAATGTCAATAAATAAACTACATCCAAGCAACTAGATGAATTAGGCGCTGCAAAAGTTCACGTGTCTTACTAAGAAGAAGAAAAAGAAGAAAAAATAGAAAACGAAGAAGAAGAAGAAGAAGAAGAAGAAGAAGAAGAAGAAGAAGAAGAAGAAGAAGAAAGAGATTGATAAAAGTGATTATAATTAAGCGGAAAAAAGGAAATGGGATTGTTATTAGTTATTGACGTTAGAACCCCACGTTCTGTAATTATTGTAACAGCAATCGATGAACATAGCAACAAATTTAGCTTGCAAGGGTGAATAGGCAGAATCAGGTTTCTGAGAATACATATAAGAAGGAAAGCAAGCATATAATCGAGAATTCATTCAAGCACGCATTTTAACAATATATATATAATCGGAGACGKTATTGGCTGACCTTCGCATATTTTGCAGCTTTTTGCACAATTTTTGTGCATAAACTTCTTGTTTATACTRCATTCTTCTTTTTTRGCCCATAATGGACATTGAACCTTGTTTAAGTCCTCGCACTTCTTCACTTCAACAAAAGTTTCGCCGACGTTTCCTTAAAAGGAAAACAAAATTAACTTAGATCACAAATACAGACTATCATATAGGGATGTGCGTGAGTCCTGGTACCTATAAAGTGTATTTTGTATAATTTCTGTTCAAAATATTTTGCGATTTATCTCTAAAATCATTTAAGAATATTTTTTTTGTTTAATTCCATTAAATAAATATGTCTAGTACCACAAATATTGCAGCTTCTTTTGCAATTCTTTGCCATGAATTTTTTTCTTCTCTGACAACCTCCATTTGCTGACCACTTRCGGCAAGAGACGTACTTGTCCTGACAATCTAAAGAATATTAAGCAGATAATTTGATAATCTATTTAATTTTCAGTTCACATTCATTCACATGCACACACCTAAATCATACTTACGACATCATAACCGGAAGTAGCTTAGAAATTGAAAAATTACTGTTTTTTAGTCTTTTTTGCGTTTCTTGCGTTTCTTTTGTTTTACAATTATGCTTACCGCACTCGCCGTCGTCAATGTATACGTCATCAATTGCTATGTCTGAGTAGCCTCTTCCGCCAACGTTTGCAATAAACTCCAGCTGAAAATATAACAACAAAAAAGTAAATTAAGGATAACGATACTGTAACACATGAAAGAAAAAAAACGAAAAAAAAAACTCGCAACAACAACAATAGAAAAAAAAATTGCGCTACTTAGCAGTTTGCACAAACCTTAAAATCCCCGTATAGGTTTTTCAGGGTTGCTGTCCCCAAAATCCAAACTCGGCCTTGATTTCCCCTTCTGAAAAACAGGGTGTTCTTGGGTACGCCATTTTGAGTGACTTGTACTTTAAGATAACCCATAGTTTTCCCAAACATTGTGTAGTAAAACTTCAAACACTGTCCGCCCTGTTTTGGCTTGAGTACTTTGCTAACCAATATGGCTTTTTCGTTTATTCGTCGCCCGGAAGACTCCACGTACAAGTARTAACCTAAAGGAGAACAGAGAAATTTTCTTCAAATTGCCCACARGAAGTAAAACAAAATAAAAARAATACAAAAAACGAACGGATGAATTTGAGTATTACGTGTACCTTTGCCTGTTGTATGGTCTTCCATCGGTCCTGTGTTCATAGTTTTAGTAAAACCYTGATGTCTGACCCATTTTAATTGATTCCAACCAGGTTTGTTACTCCACATTCCCATGGGGTTTGATGGATCGTCAAAATCTGTGTCGTCGGGACCTTAGTGAATAAAACAATCATATCTTATATTAATTCATTGAAAAAAAAAACACATTTAGCGCCGGTTTCTTCTAATACAACGTTAAATATAGTTTAATAAAACAAATTAATTTCATTGGGCTACCTGTGTTTTATGGCTTAGTTTCCAATTCACTAGGTTTTCTTTGTTATTCATAGGGTTGTATATACCATAGAAACTTAAAGCCGGGGAGGGATTTGATATTCAGCAGGGAAATGTGGGGTTGATGAATTGAATTGAATAGCTCGTTATAAATTCAGCAGGCTATATATGAGTGACCGGAATCACTCATATATAGCCCGCTGAATTTATAACGAGTTATTCAATTCAATTCATCAACCCCACATTTCCCTGCTGAACATCAAATAAACTAAGTAAACTAAACTATTTTCCCACTAAAAAAGACCAGTGCGGCCAGCAAAACKTGAGGAGATTTAGAGTGTAATAAGTTCGAGTCCCGCAGCTTTTCTTCATATGTTCATCAGAGAATAGAGACAACAATAACCAAGATCTTCGCCGTTACTTTTAAAAGAATCTATTCTTCGGAATTAACCAACGTGTATGAATCAGAAGTAATCGGTGTGACTTGGTCCATTCTATCCAAGCACGTACACACGGCCATTTGGTACTTTAGTTTGTTCCTTCTTGAATCCTTCCCTCGTATTTTTTCGAGCGAGTTCAACATCAAAAACTATTGTAATTTTTCTCATTTTTTCCCATCTGCAGACTTTGTCATCGTTGTCATTTGCGGGAAGAAGCATGCGGAGTTCCAAATCCGATAGCAAATCGTCAATATCAAAGTTCGTCAAAGGAATGATGTCAAACGTATTTTGAGCTATAAACAAATCGTCGTCACTGTTCGACATCGTTTCCAGAATGACTGCTAAGAATATTTGATAACAATATTCAAATTTCGATTGCTCGCTTTCGCATGAACAGGTTTTCTTAAAGGAAACTAATTTCAGAAGTCCATGAAAAAGTCTCAAGAGAAGAGGATTCTATTGTTCAAAACCCAACTAAGAAAACATTCATTAAGTCTATTCAGTTTTTGCGAAAACCACGTGAATTGAAAACTAAGTTTGTTAGTAACCTCGCACGTCGGCCCTCGGGCTGTATATTGCGTAATGCCTCCGTTCTCGGTAACTAACTCTTACTTAGATAAGTCAAATATATCATTTAATATATTTTTTTAAATTGTTAACATTAGTCTGATCAGAGAGGACATGACTATTAAATAAATATTACTATTGATAATTTTTTTTAAGAATCGCAGATTAGTCTTACAAAAGTGACGGCCTTTCAGCCAATTATGTTGCTCACCTGGGTTACATCTTCTTGCAGAGCAGATTTTTTCCTCTTTAGAGCTACCTGCACATGTTTTACCATATTTGGAACGAGGAGGGTTATTACATCGCCGAGTACGTCTATGAACACCATCGTCACATTTAACACTGCACGCAGACCAAGAAGACCAATGGCCCCAGTTGCCATTAACAGCATTACGGGCTGTTGAGCGAAGGTCAAAATTTATAGACTTTTAAATTTTCCTATACAGACTAAAGTCGCAATTTAGAATCAATGCACTAGATAGTGAGGCCGTGATTTGTTCTCTGCGCCTTCCAAGCAGTTAGCTCTCGAAAATTTGGCTGACTCATTCTCGTACCCAGATCCTTCTCACTTTCCCWACGGAAAATCGAGGGTTCTGGTTGGAGACGAGTGAGTCTTTAAAAATTCCCATGCGCCATCAGTATACATATTTCGTACGACCCAGATTCTAGGTCTTCCGGATGGTCTCCAATCCTTCGATTTTCCGTTGGGAGGATCTGGGTAAGWGAATGTGGCTGACTAACCATGCATAAACGAATCTCCGACGAAACAATATTCAACATTTTTTTCATCGAAAACTCGTTTTCAGAAATCTTGTACAGGGCCATTTGACTAGTATAATTAATTTGGAAAGTCGGCTATTTAGAATATGAAAGACTTACCAAGACATTCCATCTTAGTGCACTTTATTTCTTGTTTCTCGATTCCATAGGCATTGACATTTCCTACACAGGATCTGCGATTGCCAGAGTCATAGCAAAATCGCTCTCTCGATTTATAGCAGTAATCGTCGCATGGTGTGTATTCGGACCATGAAGTCCAGCCATAACGTTTAACTAGATCAGAAATTAAAAAAAAAAATGATAATACATTTAAAAGTGAGATTTGAACTATACTACGGTTYTAAATTTATCTTTTTACACAACTGTTTCTTTAGAAACACCGACGCAGCTCACACTAGTTCCCACCATGGAACGGTAAATTATAGTAGGTGCATTTGTTATGACGACATTATGGATGCAAATACCAATTGTCTCAACATATTTACCTTTGCAGTCATAAAGTGCATTTATCTCGATGGCATCGACTACGCTAAGCCTGCCGTTTTCGTTTCCCAATTCAAGTCTTTCGTTGCCAATAGCAACAAGTGTAGGTTGGCCATTTTTGGTGAAGGCGTGGCGGCCATAGTGCATGATGGATTTATAGTCGTAGTTAACTCCCAATTCGTCGATATCATTCCATGAATATTTGTCAAATTGGTCGTCAAATCCTATTCGTAGATCAAAGAATATCAATAAAAAGTACAATTTGTAAAGTGACTGCTTACAGTTTAATTATATTTACATGCAACTGCAAGGRGCGCRGATCCATGGTGTGGGAGTGGGGTGATATTGGAGATAACGGTGGTGATTGGGGCGTCTAGAAATAGAAATTCTGCCAAATTCTGATAAACAAATAARAAAATTTAATCTGAATGGGACTCATTCCTTAAAACAACACAWGTTGTGGATGGGATCGATGCATACCATCTAAAATATTTTGCCACTCGATCTTCACGAATTTATCTCGGTCTGTCCGTGCTTGCTCATGGAAAAATCCTGAAAAAATAAAAAAAATTAAATGCATAACAAGTTTATTTCTCACGCTTCCTAAATTTAGCTCACCAAATGAGTATTAAGTGTTTGCAATTGGAAAGACCACAACCTGTTGACACATCATACTTACCAAGGGCRTGGAGAGTTTCATGGATTATTGTTCCMGGGTCGTTGCAGCCTCTTCCCAGGGAAATGGTCTGTTTGCCTGACTTGTAGTATTTTTTTCCAATCATTGATGAACATCTGTAATACGTGATATTTCMAATCAAATTTATCCAATAAAGCATTCAAGATAATCAATATTACCCAACAAGTSAGCAAACGTTTTAAGATTCCCGTTTCTTGTACGTTTTACAACAAGTGGCGGGAAGACCACGTGACTAATTTGCTTTACAATAGTGTACCGAAGTGATGACTTCACAAAACGAAATKTTCTCATTTTTCAAACTTGGCCTCCATATTCTGAAAGTTCATCATTGTCAATGCRTTCTTGCTAAATTTGAGTGTCTTAGTGTCATTCATAGTGGACTGATTTTATGGTCGGGTAAACACATACAAACGCTTGTAAATTTGCTCCTTTTTACCATACCCTATAAGATATTTCAACGAATCCGAAAAATTAGAAAAAAAAATTATGACGTCACACTTCGGTACTCTAGCTCTATGAAAAGTGGGTATAATTATCAGCCATCTTTTTTCTATCTAAACCTTTTTCTCCTTACCCATCTTTGTTGCCAAACGTTATGTAGTTCCTGTGTACGCCACTTTGATATGGAACGAAACGAAGACATGTTTTGGAATGAAACTCTTGTATGGCAATCATGAAGTTTTTTCTGATTCGAGCTGATGAATATAATGTTAATTGGTTTTGAATTTTCAATTTGATAATCATGGAGGTTCAGATCAACATAATCATGGAGATGAATTAAAGATATTATTTTTTTATAAATCAGAATGAGGATGAAGGGTTACATGGAATAATTCAGGGTGTTTTGAACAAAKGGATRGTGAAAGGCAACCTCGTTCCCATGGCACTTTTCCAAGACTGGAATCGGCCGATTATATATTGATTTTGATTGGGTAACATTTTCCTCGTTTTTATTGGTTGCTCATTTGTTATGATTTTTTTGTCCAGAAATTAAAAAATGAAAGCGTCTACCAATAAGATGAACAACATGGATTATAGTATCACGAATTCTAATTATACTTACACATAAAACCAGGAATGTAATAAGGAATCACCCTCGAAGTCCAAAGCATTTTCCTTTTTCTAACTGCATTCCTTTTCGTTCTTGTCCTAACAGGCATATGGAGGTCTCTTTCTAATTCTTCATCCATTTGAATATCTCCCTGGTAAAGATATTCTTGAAATGCTGAACGAATAGAATGCCACATTAGTTTTTTTTTCTTTTCTGCATAATTCTCTCAAAGCATGTTTGAAAAATTATATGGAAAGCAATTCAATTGGCCTAAACTACTTTCAGTATAGCTCCTAAAACGCTAGGGATTAATGTCGCAGGAAGGAATAAAATGACAGCAAGTAAAAAACGAAGAACATAATTACAAAACGATGAAAATTACAAACAAGAAAAGCACAAGCAAAACATTTTAAACAATATTTAATTATAATACACTATAATATGAAAAGATTTAGTACAAATTTCTATTAATATTTCTTTGCCTCAATTTTAACTGTGCAACGTCGTCATAGTGAAAGAGAGCTATACGCTGATACTAACCCTCATTATCTTTCTCAATTTTGTCAAATAAATTTGCATCTTTATTYTGTTGTTTCAGCGTTCTTTTCCGGTTCCAATGAGCAATGTTGATGGCGAGGATTCGATCGTGAACAGTTTCATATTCTAAAACAAACACACAACATTTATTGTAACTGGAATTTGTATAGGAAATCGCACAAACTTGATTACAATTTGGAATTGATAGTCACGAGTCATTTTCATCCGTCTGTGAAACAATAACTACTCAAGTCAGAGTTTAATAGATTTTTTGTTTATAATACATTCAATGGAACAAAATTTTGTAAGGAGTACAATTAACGCTGTCATTGTACTCCTCTCKACCAATGAAAAGTATTATAAAAATAGAAATCCTGATCACGTGAATATTAATTTCAACCAAATTTTATTTTATCTCTCTATATTTAGTGTTAATTTATAGCTCTGCTCAGCAAACTTAACGGGATTGTCTAAATGATCAWTTAATCAATACTGCAGACAACCACAAAACAAATTGGTTTTATATTACTACCGGTATTAGTTCGGTTTCTKCTTGTTGCCTCATATTGTCGCTTGTGTTTTGACAATCATGTCATGACAACAAGACAMGTTTTCTACACCATCCTGTGTCATTTTTAAATGCTATATTCTTCAATCTAGCAATTTTATTTAATAAAATCACTTTTGAAAATGACAAAAGATTGCGTCGACATGTCAAGTAAGAGAAGATTATCCCATTTGARATGAAATAGGTAAAATGACACTATCGTTTCATTATAACCATCATGCTAATTCATAATTTTTCCCTAAAAATGCACAATTTGTCGTAATTCTTGAAGTACGTACAATAAAAACAAAAAATTAAGTTTGTTTTCCATGAACGTCAAATAGGAAGTTAAATTGAATAAGAATAACCGCAATACAAACCTCTTTTAGCAATCTCATCGATTTCTGGATCATCGGATATATCCGCTTGAAATTAAAAAGAAAGAAAAACAAGAAAAAGAGTGTTATTAGCTGTCTATCGCTAACATCAGGATTATTTGATGTATTTTCTGTATCAGTTTATTTATATTTATTTATTTATTAACTATTAATTTCAATTTTATTTTCTATTTGATTTTTCTTTCTTGTCTTTTCTTTTGTCTGTTTTGAGGGCTGTGTGTTTTATTGTGCTATGCTACTTTTTTATGTTCTGCAGGTTTTTCGGTAATGCATAATAAAGTATGCAAAGCAGGCTAAGCTAGTTTCATAGGAAAGAGATTTTTTTGCTTGTGCAGCTGTAAAGATTCAAGTCAAAGGCCAGGGCGGGTTATTAGAGCACTTCGACTCCCTTGGCATTAAAGAATAGGTATCAAGGCAATTATGAACAGTTTTCTCAAGTGATGAGCACTTGAGATCAAACACATTATGATCGATCAGGTATAGTTGCATGTACGTAAATCAGCTGAATTACCAACTGCCAATATACGATTGACAACATTGATACGAATGACAACAAGCGACCAAGACCATAATCAAATGAAAAATTAATAAAATGCAAAAATACAGAATGAACATACATAAAATGAAGGTAAAATAAATGAATCAGAGCCAGAGGCCGGTAAGGGGGCAGACATTAAGCATAATTTAAAACTTGTGATAGAGAAACATTTGGGTATCAAAAGTGTTAATACTTATTTTATTATTATTTCGTTCATGTCTTGTTGGTTTACACGAGTGGCTTCATGCCGTTCACCGAAACTTCACTCATAAAATTAACTTAAATAGTTTATCGTAGCTCGTAGCCACTCGAGGTCAATGATTGATTACTCGGAGTCACTCATGGTTACTCATTTATGACTCGTGGTCACTCGCTGTCAGAATCGAGTGAAGTTGTAGATTATGAAGCTACTTCATAGGGAATCTAGGAGTCTCGGCTGAATCTTGCATATAAAAAAGATTATTTTTTAACATAAGGCATCCGTAAACTTTGTTGTAAAAAAGGTAAAAGCTAACATGAAGTCAATTCACGCAAAATAAACAATCAATTCACCTCTATACTCCTACATTTCTCTCTAATAAAAATTCTCAAAATTCAGACTTTCTAAACGCACGATTTGATACAAAACTCCATTAGTWAGTTCAACGATTTTATTGCATGGGTGCGTGTTGATAAATGATTAATGCTTTTAGGTAGAGGTTGATATTATAGACATGCATGCACTGAACTGTTTGCAAACCTGGATTCACGTAACTGTCAAAATTACTAACATGCAGGATTATGTATAAACTCTGTATACAACATGCGACATTGCACTCATTAACCTCTATATTTGATTACTAACCTTCACCTTCAGTGAAATCACCCTTAATGTCAGAGTATTCTTCGTTGGATGTGGGCATAGCTTGGGCAAATATACYAAAACGTAGCAGTAATGCCACAAGCAAAATACACCGAAAAAACATAGCCACACACGATAATCTAATCAAACTATGTAGACYCCTTATGTGTTTATGAACAGCTTTGAAATAACCGTTGAAGTATACAGCTTGTTTATCGAGGCGTAAAAAACATTCATAAGCAGCCAATAGGAAGCGATAGTATATTAGGATTAATAGCGGAGGTCAACTGTATCGCATTTTACTACGGTTGGCGGGAAAACGTTCTCTGGTTCGCTAACTGTTGATAAAGTTGATTATTGCCYTCACTTCTTAAGGTAAAATTATTTTCCATTGTCAAGTTTCAGTAGTCAATGCATATTTTGTATATCTTTGAATTTCTGTAAGGTAACGGATTTGGCACCACGGTACAACAAACTAATCAACAATAACAATGTACCTTATTTGTTAGAACAGGATTAGTAGAACAGGTCAACTCTATCGGGAAAACCCAACCCACGTGTTTAGCTGTTTATRTTACAGGTAATTGATGGAAGTTGTTCAAAGATCGTTTGTTTTTGATGAGGGAGCTTTTCTTTGGAAAACGYTTTTTTCTGTTTTTGTTGCTTATAAGTAGTAAAATAGCTATAAATGATTTTGAGACCGTTGATCCACCCCAGGACCATGTTCAAAGATAATTATCAACAATTGGTTGTTTATGCCACACGTGTAGATAATTGTGATAAACAGCTGTCAGCACAGTTAGAAACATATACKTTTAATGCCGTTATAGCGTAATTCACGCATCTGTCTCTCTGCCCTTGATCTAGTGTATACCTCACCAGTTTCTTTCACCAAGTCATCACAAATATCAAGGCTCATGATAGCTTTTTTATTTTCTTTTTCATCAAGTTTCGACAGTGGTCAATCCATACCCAGTTTATAATGTTTTCTTAGGTTTGCAATACTGATTTTAATAGAGAATAACTTTGTTTTTTTGAAAAGGTGATGCGCGCGATATTGGAATAACGCAAGGGAACAAATCGGCTGGACTGACAGCAAAACGAATCATGTTAAAGTGTACGGGGACACGGGGACACGGGGACACGGGGACAAGGGGACAAGGGGAAACGGGGACACGGGGACAC